TGACTAACGTAAGCAAAAAAGCTTATAGGAAAGCTTGTTGGCAGCCTCAGTTAGCATGGGCTTTTGCCTATACAATGCCCTAGATGCCTGAAGGTGGAGGACTCATCTCGGACCTATGAGAGTCAAAACCACAGGCAAACATGGCAGAGCAGAAAGACTGGAAAAGCCTTGTCCCCTGCTTTCATGTCAGAGCTGCTATAACAAAATGAGACTGCCTGCCTCCAGATATTTGTGATGTAAAAAATAAAACAACAACAACAGAAAAACAGAGGTCTATCTTATTTGGCCACTGTGGTTGAGTTTCTGTTCTCTGTAGCTGATCATAATTCTGAAACACTATCTCAGAGTTTTTCTCTCTGCATATATGTATAATTTCTAGCACTAAGAACAATCTCTGAGGCAGATAATATTATCCTCATTTTTTTAAAATTATGATATTATCCTCATTTTTAAAAGGGAAAACAGGGTGCCTGGGTGGCTCAGTTGGTTAAGTGTCTGACTTCTGCTCAGGTCACGATCTCTGGGTCCTGGGATTGAGCCCCACATGGGGTTCCCTGCTCAGCAGGGAGTCTGCTTCTCCCTCTCCCTCTGTCCCTCCGCTGCTCTCTCTCTCTCTCTAATAAATACATTTTTTTAAAAGATTTTATTTATTTATTTGACAGAGAGAGACACAGCGAGAGAGGAAACACAAGCAGGGGGAGTGGGAGAGGGAGAAGCAGGCCCCCTGTGGAGCAGGGAGCCCGATGCGGGGCTCGATCCCAGGACCCTGAGATCATGACCTGAGCCGAAGGCAGATGCTTAATGACTGAGCCACCCAGGCGCCCCTAAAATCTTTTTTTTTTAAAGATTGTTTATTTATCTGTTTGAGGGAGAGAGAGCAAGACAGATAGGGAGAGAGAGCATGAGTAAAGAGGAGAGGGAGAAGCAGGCTCTCCGCTGAGCAGGGAGCCCGATGCGGAACTTGATCGCAGGACCCTGGGATCATGACCTGAGCCGAAGGCAGACACTTAACTGACTGAGCCAAATCTTTTTTAAAAATTTTATTTATGCGATTTTTCTCCACCTGTACCAGGGGCCTCTCTCCAGAGTTCTTGGACTAGCAGAGCGGGAGATTTCTCCACGTCTCTTTTAAAAGTACACATTGTTACAGGACCTTGAACCAACCCATGAACATGCACTTGTTAAAAAAAATAAATGAGTTAAGATCAGATCCTACTGCTTTTCATAATACTTTTCCTTTATGCACCATTGTTTTCAATCCCTGTTCATCAGCATGCAGAGCCCCAGCTATTCTATATGTCCTCCTTACTATTCTGCATTTTTCAGCTAATAGTTATTTCTTTTTTTAAGATTTCATTTATTTATTTGACAGAGACACAGCGAAAGAGCAGGGGGAGTGGGAGAGGGAGAAGCAGACTTCCCGCTGAGCAGGGAGCCTGACATGGGACTCTATCCCAGGACCCTGGGATCATGACCTGAGCCAAGGCAGATGCTTAACGACTGAGCCACCCAGGAGCCCCAGCTAATAGTATTTCTTGATGTTCTTATACATCCCACAATATTTTATTTTATTTTTTTAATTTATTTTTTTATTAAAAGATTTTATTTATTTATTTGAGAGAGAGAATGAGAGAGAGAGAGCATGAGAAGAGAGAGGGTCAGAGGGAGAAGCAGACTCCCTGCTGAGCAGGGAACCCGATGTGGGACTCGATCCCGGAACTCCAGGATCATGACCTGAGCCGAAGGCAGTCGCTTAACCAACTGAGCCACCCAGGCGCCCCCATCCCACAATATTTTAAATTACAAAAATCCCGAATGCAATCTGTAAAATGCTGAAAAGGGGAGGAAAATTATCTGTACTATCACTTCCCCAAATAAAACAAATACATAGTACGCATTTTTGTTTATTTTGTTCCTGTCCTTCTGCCTGTGTGTTTCAGTTTTGCATAGTGGCAGTCATGGTGCAGGAATTTTGTATTCTGTCATTTACAATGAATATTACACCATAAGTATTATCCGCAAGTTCCATGAGGGCAAATCCTCCATTTTTTGTGCATCATTGTATCACCTGAGCTTAGCATGATATGGTAAAGCTGGCTCAATAAGTATTCGTTGACTTAATAAATATTGCTACATACTCTTCATAGTCAACATATATATGCCCACATAATGTACCTTTTAGTGGATATGTCTTAATTTACTTAACTTTCCCTAATTATTGGATAGTTTCATTGTTTTCCATTTTTTGCTCTTATGACTAATGTGTTGATGAAAAGTTCTGTGCATATAGTCTTCTCTGTATTTGTACTTTTGTCTGAAGACAGGAGCCCAGGGTAAAGTCACAAGGTCAAATGATTGGAACATTTTTTACGAGTCTTGATGCGTTTTATGAAAATGCTTTTTGAAAGGGTGGGAGCAGTTTACAATGGCAAGCAGTGTAGCAGTTTCTTCTCACCCTCACCTGCCCTGGTTTGTGTTGTGTTTTTAAAATTGTTGGTATTGGGCGCCTGGGTGGCTCAGTTGGTTAAGCGACTGCCTTCGGCTCAGGTTATGATCCTGGAGTCTCAGGATCGAGTCCCACATCGGGCTCCCTGCTCAGCGGGGGGTCTGCTTCTCCCTCTGATCCTCTTCCCTCTCATGCTCTCTGTCTCTCATTCTCTCTCTCTCAAATAAATAAATAAAATCTTAAAAAAAAAAAAGGGAAAAAAGAGAGTTCAAATCATTTAAAAATAAATAAATAAATAAATAAAATAAAATTGTTGGTATTGATTTCAGTGGAAGAATCCCTCAATCAATTAGCATGCTTACATGACCCCACTTTAGTGTCACGGGCATAATGTGCCAAATAAGTACTCATTAAAATGTGAGCCCGTTATTTCGGTCATGTCCCTAATACTCCCATTATTTCCCAAAGCATCATAAGCACAGGTTCAATTGTATCTCAGCCTTTAATTTCTATGACTGGCCTATACATGTAAATACCAGTTATAATTATATATTATTATTTTGTTTACATCTTTTTTTTTTTGATTAGAGCTTTTTGAGCATCACAATAAAAAAGATGGTTTTTACATTAGACCCTGTAAGTAATCATATCCTTGTTTTCTACAAAATTGTTCAATGAATTTATCTCTCTCTATATCTACATATTTTTTTTAATAATTTTTTTTTTAAAGATTTTATTTATTTGCGAGAGAGAGAATGAGAGACAGAGAGCATGAGAGGGAGGAGGCTCAGAGGGAGAAGCAGACTCCCTGCTGAGCAGGGAGCCCGATGTGGGACTCGATCCCGGAACTCCAGGATCATGACCTGAGCCGAAGGCAGTCGCTTAACCGACTGAGCCACCCAGGCGCCCCTCTACATATGTTTCTATCTCCCTCTTTCTCCCTGGAAGTTCACAGGCAATCCCAGCTCCAGGGAAACTATACTTTTCATGTATGTTTAGAATTAATATTCACAGAGGCTTAACTGAAACTACAGTAGTCTTTGGACTGTTAACAAGTGATCAACAGAAAGTATTATTTCTTTCTGAGCTGTCTGTCAAAGTCCATCACCGAATGCCATAAAGCAGGCAGTGTGCCAATTACTTAAACTGCTGTTCTCTTAGAAAAACTTCCCAAAGCTTTGATCACAGAAACTATCTAGAGGTAACCCCTGCCTCTAAACAGAGTTTAGGAAGGACTTAAAGTATCATGCCATAGCCGAGCGGACTACAAAGTGTGTTAAAGGGGTTCAGAGTAACTGACGCAGGAATTGCTGAACATGGAGAAGGGATGGTCTTTGGCTATTCTTCTTGCCTTTCTTCTCCGTACTCCGACAGGTAGCTACCCGTGAGGTATTGACCTGCCCCATTTCTGCCTCTGCTGGGGAGAAGGTGGGGCTGCTGCCTGCCTTGCCCCATGGAGGAGGGACCTGAGATTTCTCCAGGAGCAACCCTGTTCTTAGGCCAGACAGGTGTGAGTGGGGGTAAGACCAGGGTAAGGAGTGTTAAAAGAACACTCAGCGGCCACGTGATCCATGCAACTGTGGCCAGGGTGTTTCTTTTTTTTTTTTTTTTTAATTTATGTTTTTTTTTCTTTTTTTTTTAAATTTTTTATTTATTTATTTGACAGTGAGAGAGATAGCGAGAGCAGGAACACAAGCAGGGGGAGTGGGAGAGGGAGAAGCAGGCTTCCTGCCGAGCAAGTAGCCCAATGTGGGACTCGATCCCAGAACCCTGGGATCATGACCTGAGCCGAAGGCAGACGCTTAACGACTGAGCCACCCAGGTGCCCTGGCCAGGTGTTTCTGAGAGCTGCAGCTGCCCCTTTCAATCTGCAGGACGCACCAGGCCCCATGACCACTACCTCTCACGAAGTCCCCGTCAAGACAGACATTCTCCTTCCCATTAGGATCACTACAAATGTCAGCCAGAAGATACCTGACAATCGTCTAGTTCATCCCATCCATTTATTCTACTTTGCTTTTTTAAAATTTATTTGAGAGAGAGAGAGCACAAGTTGGGGGGGGCAGACCCTCCACTGAGCAGGGAGCCCTGATGGGGGGGTGCTTAATCCCAGGCCCTCGGGATCATGACCTTAGCCAAAGGCAGACGCTTAACCAACTGAGCCACCCAGGCACCCCTTAATTTTCCTTTGCTTTTAATTACATTCAAAACAACACCCCCAAAAGCAGAACTGTCTTCACTACCATTTTCCTATTCCCCTAAATCGGAGACTCTCCCACTCACCTTTTCAGTTAGCCTGTTGCCAAGATGCTGAGCATCCTTCTAACCATTTTTCTATTCATTTGCATGTATATATATATGTACACATACGTATATATACATGTATATACATATACACACATATGTGTATTAACTGCATAAAGAGGCCCATATGTATTGCTCTGTACCTTGTTTTCTTCCTTAGCAATGCGTCGTGGACAACTTTGCGTATTGGGTCATAGAGACTACTTGTTCTTACCTGATAGCATTCCTCAGAATTAGTCAGTAGATATACCTTAAAAAGATGTGACTCCCGGGGCGCCTGGGTGGCTCACTCAGTTAAGCCACTGCCTTTGGCTCAGGTCCTGATCTCAGGGTCGTGGGATCGAGCCCCGCGTCGGACTCCCTGCTCCGCTGGGAGTCTGCTTCTCCCTCTGCCTCTGCTGTCTCTCCCTGCTGGGTGGTCTCTCTCTCTTTCTCTGTCAAATAAATAAATAAAATCTTAAAAGAATAAAAAAAAAGATATGACTCCCAAATCAAAGTCAAAAAAGGACATCCAAAATTCAGTTTATTTGATCCCTCACCCTCCCCACATTTTTATATAGGAAAAATTTCAAACATACAAAATAATGGAAAGACTAGTACAGTGAACTCCCATACAGAGATTCTCTCTCTCCCTCTCCCCTGGCCCTCCCCACCACGTGTACACGCTCTTTCTCTCTCCCTCTCTCTAAAGGAAATAAATAAATCTTGAAAAATTTTTTTTACCCAAACATGTACCTCTTCCTAAACAATATATTGTTTGGATTTGTTTGTTTTTGAGCCTTATAAAAATAGAATCACACTGTGTGTGAATCCACTAGATTCGACGATTGTTACCAACGGCTGTCATTTCAATACCTGACAGAGTTGTGTGGTTGTAAAAGGAGAAGCCTAGGAAAAGAAGCCGAATTCATCAAGGCCCAAGGTCTTAAGAATTACAAAGGAAAGACGTTTACAAATCTGAAGGGCCAAAGGAAAGTAAAAGCCACCCAACAGATTAACCTGGGAGGAAGATGCAGATTTCAATGAATTGAAGGAAGAATTAGTAATCTAGGCATGTGGGCTAAAAGTCTATCCATTCTTGGGGTGCCTGGGTGGCTTTAGTCGGTTGAGCATCTGCCTTCAGCTTGGGTCATGATCCTAGAGTCCTGGGATCGAGTCCCGCATCGGGTTCCTGCTCAGTGGGGAGGCTGCTTCTCCCTCTGCACTTCCCCCTGCTCATACTCTCTCTCTCTTTCTCTCAAATAAATAAAATCTTAAAAAATAAATAAATAAAAGGCTACCCAATTTTGAAATTATGGAGTGACTGGTGTGAATATAGAGAGGTTTAGTGAGCTGTACTTTGATGCATTTTCTGGTAGCTATGCAATATCAAACATACTTTGAAGGCAAACCCTCCAAATGACATGGGGTGATATGTGTTTCCTTGGTGGGTGAAAGGAAGAAACATTCTCGTCTATAAATTCTGACCTTGCAATGATCGAACAGCTTTTCTCCAAAAATCACCAAGAAAGTAACTGTTTGCCTAGAGGGTGGATATCTTTTTATTCCAAAGGAAAATTTGGAATCAAATATGGAAATGGAATATTATACAGCAGGAAAATTGGATGAAATACAGCTATATACAACAACTCGAATAAATCTTAGAAATATAATTTGCAGTGAAAACTGCTGGTTGCAGGCCACACACAGTGTGATTCTATTTTTATAAAGCTCAAAAACAAGCAAATCCAACAATATATTGTTTAGGAAGATGTATATGTTTGGATAAAAAAATTTTTTTGAAGATTTATTTATTTCCTTTAGAGAGAGAGAGAGAGAGAAAGAGTATGTACACATGGTCGGGAGGGCCAGAGGGAGTGGGAGAGAGAGAATCTCTAACAGACTTTGTGCTGAGCATGGAGCCTGACATGGGTTCAATCTCATGACTCTGAGAACATGACCTGAGCTATAACCAAGAGTCAGACACTCAACTGACTGTGCCACCCAGGTGCCCCTAAAAAAATTTTTTTTAAAGATTTTAATTATTTATTTGAGACAGAGAGAGTGAGCGAGAGAGAGTGCACAAGCAGGGGGCAAGGCAGAAGGAGAAGGAGAATGCTGAGCAGGGAGCTGGATGTGGGACTCAATCCCAGGACCCCAGGGTCATGACCTGAGCTGAAGGCAGCTGCTAAACCAACTGAGCCACCCAGGTGCTTCCTTAAAAAATTTTTTTTAATGAACGCATTATTTTAGGATAGTGATTCCCTTGAAATGAATAGGGGCAGTTGAAAGCACAGGGCATCATCAAAAACATTGGTAACTGGGGTGCCTGGGTGGCTCAGTCGGTTAAGCATCTGCCTTTGGCTCGGGTCATTATCCCAGAGTCCTGGGATCGAGTCCCATGTCAGGCTCCCTGCTCAGCGGGGAGCCTGCTTCTCCCTCTCCCTCTCCCTCTGCCCTTCCCCCCTGCTCAAGATCTCTCTCTCTCTCATTCTCTCTCTCTCTTTCAAATAAATAAATAAATAAATAAATAAATAAATAAATAATCTTTAAAAAAAGAAAAAAACATTGGTAATTGTTCTATTGATTAATTGTATGGTGGGTTCATGTATTCATTTTATTATATGCTCTCAAGGTTATTTAGATGTTACTTACATTATTTCATATGTATCAAATATTACATAATAAAATTGTGTAAGGCGAAATAAAGGCTAGACTTACAAAATAGAATAATGAAACACGTAGTTATGGACTGTTTATACAGCCATTCTTTTAATGGCATTTAATTTTAATTTTTTGCTATTCCAGCACACAGGAATAAGCATTCTTGAGTATATTTCTGAAAAGTTTTTTTTTTTTTTTAAGATTTTATTTATTTGACAGAGAGAGACACAGCAAGAAAGGGAACACAAGCAGGGGGATTGGGAGAGGGAGAGGGAGAAGCAGGCTTCCCGCCGAGCAGGGAGCCCGATGTGGGACTCGATCCCAGGACCCTGGGATCATGACCTGAGACGAAGGCAGACACTTAACGACTGAGCCACCCAGGCGCCGGAGTATATTTCTTTCATTACTTGTGGGGGTGGGGTAGATACCTAGAAGTGGGGTTGCTGGGTCAAAGGGTGAAAACACTGAAGTTAAATGCAAAACTAGGGAGGGAGGTGCAGGGAGAGGGACTTGGAGGAAGGTGGTCAAAAGGTACAAACTTTGAGTTATAAATAAGTACTAGGGATGTCATGATGACTACAGCTAACACTGCCGTATGATATATAGGAAAGTTGTTAAGAGGGTAAATTTTTAGAGTTCTCACCAGAAGGGGAACATTTCTTTTTCTTTTTTCTTTTCCTCTTTAAAGATTTTATTTTAACTTTAAATAAATTCTACAGCACATATGGGACTTGAACTCACCTCCACTGACTAAGCCAGCCAGGCATCCCCTTTTTCTTTGTACTGTATCTATATAGGGTGATGGATGTTAGCTGATTCTACTGTGGCAGTCATTTCACAATAGATGTAAATCAAGTGATCCTGCTGTGCATTTTAAATTTATACAGTGATATAAGTCAATTATTTCATAATAAAACTGGACAGAAATACCAAACATACACAGGCAGTGGACAGCAAATCAAGATTAGAAACAAAGCTCTTTCTGGGCTCCATGGTGTACCTGTTGCCAGTAATGAAAACACCTGTCTTATCAAGGCAAGTGTCCCACTTTAGGCTGTGATTTGACCCCTTCCCCATCATCCTGTCTGCCCAGCCCGTAGGTGAAGCACAGGATCGATTTCAGAACCTCAGGACACAGAACACAGAACTCCCTGTCCCGAGAGGCAGCAGAATAGGGCTTTGTCTCCCAGAAAGGCAAGATGGTTTCTGTGGGGCTGCCTTGGGGCCAGTGCAGAAAGGAACCTCTGCTGAGCTCCAAGTCAGAACCCAGAGTTCTTGCCCCATTTTTCACTACTGCCCCTGGGGCCCATGGAGGCGTCTCTTTTTGTTTCTCTGAGCAGATTTTGAAATGTGTAGTCTTCAGAGTGGAAATGTTTATTAGTTACCGAAAATGCTGTTTTGTTGATTACAGGAAAGCACAGACAAAGGAATCCATACAGCATGTACCCGGAATGAAAAAAGTGGGTGGGAAAAACCAAGATAATGTCAGTTACCGGCTATGCCAGCCAGAGTCCCTTTCTTCCTACCTGAACACATTCAAAGATAATCCCAAATCCAAGTCTTTGAAATGTTCATTTCAATTCAGATACAGAAAGAAATTAAACATCTATTTTAGTGTGTGTGTGCGTGTATGTAATATGCCACCCAAACACATGTAGTAGCAACATCAACCCCATATACTAGATTAAATCAGTGGCATGTGATCAAACATTTTAAAACTTAGGGAATATCAAGTTTTGCCCAAATATCTCATCATTTTTTTAGTGGTTGGTTTTTCTCAATCAGGGCCCAAACAAGAAATACACATTGTATTTCATTGATATCACTTAAATCTTTTAGTTTATAGGTTTCTTCCCCCTTCATCTTTAATGCCTTGTTGTTTGTTGTTGAGGAAACTGGATCATTGGACTTCTTGAGTTTCCCAGATTCTGGATTTTGTTGATTGTACCCCGTAGTAGTGTTGTTTAATATATCCCTCTCTTCTAGTAATTCTTATAAACTGGTAGATGGATCTACAAACTTGGTCAGACTCAGATTTGCTCTTTTTGGCAAGAATGTGCCATTTGTGGTGTTGTATATTTCCATCAGATGGCACATAATGTCTGGTGATCTTTTCTGTGATGTTAGTGGCCATCGATGACTATTGCCTTGATCCACTATTTTATTAGTGCTTTGGAAAATGCTGATATTCAAATTTTGTCAATCCTTACTTGTTGGCTAGAATAATTTCTTCGTCAACTATTTAGTTTATCCTGAGTCGCAGTTTGTACATGTCTTAGCCTGGATTTCCCAGGAAGCAGAGCCTTGAGTCATGTGCTTTATTGGGGGAAAGTGATCGTGCAGAAAAAAGTGAGGGATGGGAGAAGCAGAGAAAGCCAGCTGAAGGGAGACTCACTCAGTAGGCTGCTGCTGTAGGCACCTGATTACTTGATCAGTGTGACTTGATTTCTGAGAAGCAATATATACTGAGTCTCAGGACAGTTCATCTTGTGGGGGGGGGGAAGGAATATTCACATATCAGCTTCTATCCCTCACTGGGTAGAAACTTAGACAATGAAGCATTAACTTCAGGGTGGTGTATGCATGGGCATCCCCACCCTGGCACTGACAGAGAAGCACTGGGTGGGAGGGAGGAGATGAGTCTATTCTCAGGTTGTCCCTGCATGAAGCTGAACAGAGCCCACCTAAACCTTGTTGTTGCAGCAGTGTCTGGAGTAAGGGAGAGGGGAGGCGAAGAGGATCTGAAGTAGTATATACGTGTTAGATACAGTCCAGAAAAGGCAGGTGAAATGTGTAATTCTTTCTCTTACAATTTATCAGCTTTCAAAATAATTAATTAGTTCTATTGCATCTGCAAAGGTAATCAGTTAGGGGTTTTTTTTTGTTTCTGTTTTTGTATCATTATGACTCCCGGATATATACATATTTGATGTGTCTCAATTCATTGCAGTTATTTTTCTTCTTCTTCTTTTTTTAAGATTTTATTTATTTATTTGACAGAGAGAGAGAGAGAGCACAAGCAGGGGGAGTGGCAGGCAGGAGAAGCAGGCTCCCCGCTGAGCAGGGAGCCCGACAGGACTGGATCCCAGGACCTGATCATGACCTGAGCCGAAGGCAGACATTTAACCAACTGAGCCACCCAGGCGTCCCATTATTTTTCTTCTCGAGGCTTAAAATTTATCCCACTTTGGCTGGTGGATGCTTCTACAGGTTGGCTCCAGATTCCATTTGATGTCAACCTTAGTTTTTGATAGCTTCACTGCTTCCTGAATTGATAAGATATTCCAGGCTGATTTTGGAGATTTCTTGCCTCTGATGGAAAATCAACCACTTCTCCAAGTAGATCTAATTCTTTTTAGACAAATATGGTATTTGGAGACCACAATCTGAAATCTTGGAGTCCTTATTCCTACCAGGCTAGTAAATGTTTGGTTGGCATTTTGAGTAAATAGACCTTGGAATTTTTTTTTTTTTAATTAAAGAGAGAGAACAGGAGGGGAGGGGCAGAGGGAGAGGGAGAGACACAATCTTAAGCAGGCTTCATGGATCTCATGACCCTGAGATCATGATCTGAGCCTAAATCAAGAGTTGGATGCTTTACCCACTGAGCCACCCAGGTGACCCTGTAAATATTTTTTTTAAGAAAAGTATACCATAAGGAGCACCTGGGTGGCTCAGTTGGTTATGCATCCGCCTTTGGCTTAGGTCATGATCCCAGGGTCCTGGGATTAAGCCCCACATCAGGATCCCTGCTCAGCAGGGAGCCTGCTTCTCCTCCCTCTGCCATTCCCCCAGCTTGTGCTCTCTGGCTCTATCTCTCTGTCAAATAAATAAATAAAATCTTAAAAAAAGAAAAAAGAGAGGTATACCATGAGTTCTAAATGATAATTCTAATTCAAATTTAATATTGCTTAACTACTGGGATACCTGGGTGGCTCAGTCTATTGGGTGTCTACCTTTGGCTCGGGTCATGATCCCAGGGTCCTGGGATGGAGCCCTGCGTCAGGCTCCCTGCTCAGCGGGGAGTCTGCTTCTCCCTCTCTCTCTGCCACTCCCCCTGCTTGTGCTCTCCCTCTCTGTGTCAAATAAATAAATAAATAAATAAATAAATAAATAAATAAATAAATAATAAAATATCTTTTAAAAAAATATTGCTTAACTGCTTTGATTTTTTTAGTTTTTATTTTATTTATTTATTTTTTAAAAAGATTTTATTTATTTATTTGACAGAGAGAGACACAGTGAGAGAGGGAACACAAGCAGGGGGAGTGGGAGAGGGAGAAGCAGGCTCCCTGTCGAGCAGGGAGCCCGATGCGGGGCTCGATCCCAGGACCCTGGAATCATGACCTGAGCCGAAGGCAGTCGCTTAACCAACTGAGCCACCCAGGCGCCCCTTGATTTTATATTTATGTTTTTATACTAAAAAATCTTGATTCTTAAGGCCATTAACATAATTACTTCTTACTAACATTATCATCACTAAAAAGCAGTTTTAGTTCTTTTTTTTTTAATATATTTTTTAAGATTTTATTTATTTATTTGACAGAGAGCAGGAACACAAGCAGAGGGAGTGGGAGAGGGAGAAGCAGGCTTCCCGCGGAGCAGGGAGCCCGATGTGCGGCTCGATCCCAGGACCCTGGGATCATGACCTGAGCCAAAGGCAGACACTTGGCTGAGCCACACAGGTGCCCCAGTGTTAGTTTTTTTGTTTTTTGTTTTTTTAAATGTTTTCCATCCTTAGGGTATATACCTAAGGGATGTGGAGTAAGATAATTGTTTTAAATTCACCTGACATAATTTCCCCTTATGTGGGAAATTAACTGTTCTCTTTTTAAAAATTGTCCTCTAGGCTCAATCTACTCACTTTTTATGAAATAACTTGTTGATAGGTATCCCCAGAAGTCTAAACTAAATGAACTTGGGCTTTATCAGAAGCACTGTCATTCATTCCATTACTTATGGCAGAGGTTTGGGTGGGAAGGAGGGCAGGAGGGTTTGGCAGTCATATGCAAAGGTCTCTTCAATGAACCTTCCTAGGAGGTTTTTCTTTGTGTGTGTGGTAAAATATACATAACATAAAATGAGCCATTTTAACCATTTTTAAGCATACAATTCAGTGGCATTATGTACATTCACACTAATGTCCAACCAACACCACTATCCCTCTCCAGAACTTTTTCATCATACCAAATTGAAACTCTGCACCCATTAAACAATAACTCCCTATTACCTTCCCAGGATTTTTTTTTTTTATTAACATATAAGGTATTATTTGTTTCAGGGGTACTGGTCTGTGATTCAACAGTCTTGCACAATTCACAGCACTCACCATAGCACATACCCTCCCCAACATCTATCACCCAGCCACCCCAGCCCTCCCACCCCCCTCCCCTCCAGCAACCTTCAGTTTGTTTCCTGAGATTAAGAGTCTCTTATGGTTTGTCTCCCTCTCTGGTTTTGTCTTGTTTCATTTTTCCCTCCCTTCCCCTATGATTCTGTCTCGTTTCTCAAATTCCTCATATCAGTGAGATCATATGGTATTTGTCTTTCTCTGATTGACTTATTTTGCTTAGCCTAATACCCTCTAGTTCCATCCACATCGTTGCAAATGGCAAGATTTCATTTTTTGATGGCTGCATAATATTCCTGTGTGTGTGTGTGTGTGTGTGTGTGTGTGTGTGTATACCACAACTTCTTTATCCATTCATCTGTTGATGGACATCTAGGCTTTTTCCACAGTTTGGCTATTGTAGACATTGCTGCTATAAACATTGGGGTGCACGTGCCCCTTTGGATCACTACATTTGTATCTTTGGGGTAAATACCCAGTAGTGCAATTGCTGAGTCCAGAACTGTGATGCCACCAGCTTTGCTTTTCTTTTTCAACATTCCTCGGATATCCGGGGTCTTTTCTGGTTCCGTATACATTTCAGGATTATTTGTTCCATTTCTTTGAAAAAAGTTGATGGTATTTTATAGGGATTGCATTAAATGTGTAGATTGCTCTAGGTAGCATAGACATTTTCACAATATTTGTTCTTCCAATCCATGAGCATGGAACGTTTTTCCATTTCTTTGTGTCTTCCTCAATTTCTTTCATGAGTATTCTATAGTTTTCTGAGTACAGATTCTTTCCCTCTTTGGTTAAATTTATTCCTAGGTATCTTATGGTTTTGGGTGCAATTGTAGATGGAATCGACTCCTTAATTTCTCCTTCTTCTGTCTCCTTGTTGGTGTATAGAAATGCAACTTATTTCTGTGCATTGATTTTATATCCTGCCACTCTTCTCAGGATTTTTAATGTGACTAAATGGAAGGAGCACTTGCTTGCCAGTTGCAGGCTTGGGCACTAAGAAGATGTTGCCTTCCAGGCTGAGCAGGGGTTCTCGCGGTGACTAAGCAGGCTCTGGGGTTAAAGCTCCCGCCCTCACCTATTGTCCCAGCGGGAGGAACCGGTATTTCCGGATTGGGGCCTCAGACCCAGAGATCCCGGCTAAGGGTGAAGTTCATGGGGGAGGGGAACGGAAGCCGATCATAAAAGTTAACTTTCCACCAAAATGACCAACCTGCTTCTCACCCCACCCCCAAGCAAAAACAAAGACCCCAGCACCACCGAGCACCTACAATAATGGCCCACAACCATCCCTCCCCTGGTCTTTGAAAGGGTAGCGTAACCCCTTCCTAGCCCACACTCCTGGAGAGGATCAAAAAGCTGACCAGAGAACGAATAAAGCCAGCAGCACATCGAATCACTTTTGCCCTGGGGCGGAAAGAAAGCACAGCGGCAGTTTCGCAGAGAAGGGAAGAGGCAGGGGAATGGATGTACCGACTGGGGGGACTAGATGGTCCCTGCGGCCACAGTCCCGGCCCCACCGCTGGGTGGCGCGTGCGTGCCCCCCTAGTCGTGCCAACACCCCAAAGTAGAGCTGCAATAAGCTGCGTCTCCTGCTCCAGACTCGGGCACCTGGAACCCTTGGGGTCTCGAGGAAGCAGGTGACGGCCGCTACCCACCCTCCTCCCCTCCGGGGCGCGGCTCTCTGGCTCTCCGCCCGCCCACTCCCCCTGCCACCACCCTGGATTTTTTTTTTTTTTTTCCTTTCTCCCAAACCTCCAAACAGGAAATAGCTTGAGTCCACAATAATACAAGGAGCAGCGACCAAGGCTATTCGTGCCCGCCCATTCCCTGGGCAGCGTCTCGCACTCCGGCTCCGGCCAGGCGCCGCCAGCGACGAGCGCGGGCAGCGCAGGGGACACCCGCCCACCAGCCGGCGCCGCGTCGGAGCGCGTCCCTGCGCCCCCGGGAGCCGCCTTCGTCCTGCGCGGGAGTCCGCCGACTGCGGCCGCCCCCAGCCCGCAGGCGAGTACCCTTCTCCCTCCCCTCCTCGACCCCCAGTCGCGCGCCCCGCGGCCGCCAGGGCTCGGGCGTCGCCGGGGTGCCTCCCACCGGTCGGGACCCTGCGAGCGAGGGATTTGCGGGGTGTGGCGGGGCACTGGCGCCTTGGATCGGCGCGCGAGCGGAGGTGAAGGGCAGCGAGTTGATGCCCCCCCATCTCCCTGTGGATTCGCGGTGCACTTTATTGGGCACTGATTTTTTCCTCTCTGGGGATGCCTAGCGGACTTCTGCCTCCCCGTCCTCCCGGGGGACGACAGCGCATCATAGGTTTCTCTTGGGGGATCGTTTGGAAGTGGGTTCTGCCCGCACCTGTGGCAGCTACAGGTGCCTGGGAGCCACCGTCTTTTTCCTACCTGGCCTGGCGCCTTCTCCCCCAAGAAATAGGGACCGTTTCACTTTCTGTTGAGCTTCTCTTTAACCAGGATAAAAGGGCCTCTGAGCTTCTGTTGGCGCAGCCGGCGTTTGCGGTAGTGGAAGGGGTAGGAGCTGGGGCCATGGGGCCGAGGGAGGCGCTGGTTGGTTGCAAGCAGGTGGGGATTGCCAGCAGTCTCGGGCGGGTCTCAGCCACGGGGCTTGCAAACCCCGCACCACCGAGAGCCCGACTGCACAGTCCGGAGCTGCCCGCGGGCCAGTTACCCGCGGAGCCGCGATCTGTGCCCCAAGCGCCGAAGAGCCTTCGAGGGTTTTCCCCCCTTCCCTCTAACATGCGGGGCGTTGTCAGTGTTCAAGGCTGCAGGGCTCTTCTATAGGGAACTCAGTCAAAACCGAGTTGGAGATCTTTCTGTTGGATAAAGGCCACTGAATTCCAGGCATTCTTCGAGCTTGAGAAGTACTGTTTTGAAGTCTGCGTGAAGACTTTCTGCGAAACTGCCTCTCTGTCAACTGTCCTAGCCGCCTGTGGCAGCTTCCTAGTCCCGGAGGTGGGTGGGGACGCCTTGGGAAGCCCCCTGGTCATGACGGCTTTCTGTGCGTCTAAACGCATTTTTACAAACGGTGGTTGGCAGATAATTTCCGTCCTTAACCAGTTCTCCTGAGAGGTGTGATCAACCCTCGTTTCCCGGTGAGGGGCCCGTGGTTCTTGAAGGTTAGATGGAGGGGGCTCTGGGGCCTTGCGGCTTCACCTGGGGGCCTGTTAAAAGTGGGCCCAGACCTGCTGGTTCAAGACCCCCCGGGGATCGTTTGCACAATAACGTTTGAAAAGCACCGGCCTAGGGTATCTTGGGGTGGAGTACTCTGTCCATTGTGAAGAAGTGATTTACAATACGCACATTTTCATCAAGTCCTACGTTTGAACCTTCATTTTGCCAAAGCAGGACAAACACACTTAAGCCGCAGGGGTCACAGCCCCTCCACCGCAGTGTCAGGCTCCTCAACGAGATTTGGACATGTGATTAGCATACTAGCCTGTGAATTTTTTGTTTCTGGATACTTTTATTCTTTGACTGTTATTATTTTTTTCTTTTTTTGAAAATTATTTTAATTCAGTTAATTAACATATAATGTATTATTGGTTTCAGAGGTACAGGTCAGTGATTCATCAGTCTTATATAATACTCAGTGCTCATTACATCACATGCCCTCCTTAATGTCCATCCCGCAGTTACCCTATCCCCCCAAAACCCTTCTTTGGCTTATTATTATGATAAAATATATATAACATGAAATTCACCATTTTAATCGTTTTAAATGTATGATTCAGTGACGTTAAGTACACTGACAATGCAACCATCCCGACTCTCCATTTCCAGAACTTTTTCATTGTTCCAAACAAAAACTCTACCCATTAAACAATACCCCATTCTCCCCTCTCCTCAGCCCCACAACTTCTGGATACTTTAAATGATATGTTTTTGTAGGGTGGAGAAAAGGCTGAATCGGAATGTAAAGTAAAAGTAAAATCATGTTCAAAGAAAATATATAAACATGTAGAGATTCCTGGGTCACTGTCCTGGTGGACATGGTACTATAGCTCCAGGTTCTTAGAGTGCATATGCTTTCTTTAAACAAACAACCCAAAACTCATGAGGGTTTCCTTTTTGTTTTGGCTGCAAAGGAATGGAGCTATCAGGGCTCAAACGCACTGATTAACTAGATGCACATTAATAACTAGATGCCTGGTGACATTTATCTGTTTCTTTTAACTGGCTTTATTTTAGGTATCCTGTTTATATTGGGTTTATTATTATTTTTTTAACAGTGACTCAAACACATTTTTGAAAGTAGTTGAATAAACCTTAAGGAAAAAGTTGGTGCGGGGCACCTGGGTGGCTCAGTCGGTTACGCGTCTGCCTTTGGCTCAGGTCATGATCCCAGGATCCTGGGATTGAGCCCCACATTGGGCTCCCTGCACGGCAGGGAGCCTGCTCCCTCTCCCCCTCCTCCCCACTCATGCTGTCTCTCTCTGTCAAATAAATAAAATCTTCGGGCGCCTGGGTGGCTCAGTTGGTTAAGCGACTGCCTTCGGCTCAGGTCATGATCCTGGAGTCCCGGGATCGAGTCCCGCATCGGGCTCCCAGCTCGGCAGGGAGTCTGCTTCTCCCTCTGACCCTCCTCCCTCTCCTGCTCTCTGTCTCTCATTCTCTCTCTCAAAAAATAAATAAATAAAATCTTAAAAAAAAAAAAGTTTTAAATAAATAAAATCTTCAAAAAAAGAAAAAAAAGGAAAAAGTTGCTTGGTAAATATAGGAGGAGGTCACAGCAAGACTTCAGAAAGCAGATTTGAAATAATTTTCCCAAATTACCCAAACTATGTATTTTGTTTCTGCTTTCATGTTAAATGAGTCTAATGGTCCAACAACATTATTTCTAGTTATAAAAATGTTTGTATAATTGAGGAAAGCCTTGTAATAATGAAATGTAAGATGCATTTGTCTGCATCTGCTTAAAATTGCCCAGCTTGTGATTTGGGGACATGCATTTCAATGAGAACATAAATATGAATTGGCAAACTAAGAAAAGCGGTTTCATTCATGAGCTAAGAGAGTCATTGTTATGGGTCAAGGATGTGGTTTCAGGGTGCCTGGCTGGCTCAGTAGAGCATGTATCTCTTGGGATTGTGAGATGGAGCCCCATGTTGGGTGTAGAAATTACTTAAAAATAAAATCTTTAAAAATTACTTTAAGAATCTCTAAAGATAAAATCTCTTTTAAAAATCTCTAAAAAAAAAAAAAAGAATGTGGTTTCTAATACATAAGTGATCAAGGATATTGGGAAGATTTACTAAGTAGCTGAGTAGTGGGAAATCCTTCAAATTCTTCCCAGATTCTTTTATCTTTTAGTAAGATACTTGACTTTTCCTGTGTTATGACCTTTATCGGAAAGAAGCTATTGACTTGTAGGAAGGAACTTACAGCTTCCTTTGACTGAAAAATCCCTTTGAAATGAGGAATAAAAGATAATTCAAATGGGCAAAATTAGACAAAAATTCTCCCTCTTGAGGATATTCTTGTATTTGCAGAAATTCAGATTGTTGTCTCCTTGTAATGGTAGTAAGGCAAAAGAGAAAAGGTTTTCCTTCTTCTGCTGCGTTCTCTTCTGAAATAGCACTATAATTCAGAGTTTTATTTGGTGAACAAATGCTGTTTTGTAGTCCACACATGAGAAAAAAATTCCTTAGAACGTGTCCAGTGAATGTTTTTTTCAGTGATGCCAGAGGAATCATTTGGGGAGTTTAGTAAAAATGGATGACGTTGCTCATCATTCTCAAGATCTGAGGTTTTAGTAGCCCGAATATTTGAAAGAACCCACTGGTCTCTATTTGATTTATTTTTTATTTTTTTTAAAGGAGAATTTGAAGTGTTTTATTTTTTTTATTTTTTTCCCAAAGATTTTATTTATTTGTCAGAGAGAGAGAGCAAGTGAGCACAAGCAGGGGAAGCAGCAGGCAGAGGGAGAATTTATTTGAGACAGAACGAGCACAAGCAGGGAGGAGGGTTAGAGGGAGAGGGAGAAGCAGACTCCCCACTCGGCAGGGAGCCTGAACCGGGGCTCGATCCCAGGACCCTGAGATCATGACCTGAGCTGAAGGTAGACCCTTAACTGACTGAGCCACCCAGGCGTTCCTGGACTATTTGATTTAGAATCCATGCCTGTTGCAAATTAGGTACTTTCCGACACATTTTCATTAAATCTTTATAATGACCTTGAGAGAGGTATTTTTTCTCTCATTTTACAGATGAGAAAACTGAAGCCAGTTGTGGTCTTCCTACCCTAGACCATGGTTCTTTCCATTGTTCTTCCATGTAGAATTGTCCCTGTCTACAAATCCCCCTTCACCTCCAAGAAGCTATGTATTCATTAATATCTTAATTTTTTTTTTTTTAGGATTTTATTTATTTGACACAGAGAGAGAGACACAGCAAGAGAGGGAACACGAGCAGGGGGAGTGGGAGAGGGAGAAGCAGGCTTCCCGCGGAGCAGGGAGCCCGATGCGGGGCTCGATCCCAGGACCCTGGGATCATGACCTGAGCCGAAGGCAGACGCTTAACCAACTGAGCCACCCAGGCGCCCCGTATTCATTATCTTTTGGAACATCAGGTACTACATGCACTAGGTCCTTAGGCAAATAAAAAGATGAGCCAAAACTGAAATAAATTCCCAAAGAGCAAAGGATTTAAAAGTAAGACCTCTAATGAGTGATCAGTTAGATTATACTTGTCTTGGGGCGCCTGGGTGGCTCAGTCGTTGAGCGTCTGCCTTCGGCTCGGGTCATGGTCCCGGGGTCCTGGGGTCGAGCCCCGCGTCGGGCTCCTTGCTCGGCGGCCTGCGTCTCCCTCTCCCACTACCCCTGCTTGTGTTCCCTCTCTCGCTGTGTCTCTCTCTGTCAAAAAATAAATAAAATCTTTAAAACAAAAAAGATTATCCTTGGCTTGAATGTAGCATTATTGTAGCTGAGCAAGATGTGGGTATTCTCCTTACTGAGATAGTCAGCCTTGCCATCTCTGCACATAGGCCAGTCAGTAGCTATGTGACACCCTGAGATGCTACAGAGTATGGAAGAAAGGACACAGGATTTAGGTGCAGGACTAACATCTGCCCTGAACACCTGACTGGGGGGAGTAAACCTCATATACTCTTGAGTGTCCACATTTCTAAATAGAAAGATAGGGGCATAATTATCTCCCTTTAAGATTATAGTAAGGACTGCAAAGAACCTTATTTGTAAAAGTGCTTGTAAATTTTATTTATTTTCATTTTTTTAAAAGATTTTGTTTATTTATTTGACAGAGAGGGGAAGTGGGAGGGGGAGGAGAAGCGGGCTTCCCGCTGAGCAGGGAGCCCGACGCGGGGCTCGATTCCAGGACCCTGGGATCACAACCTGAGCTGAAGGCAGACACTTAACGACTGGGCCACCCAGGCGTCCCAAGTGCTTGTAAATTTTAAAATGATAGTAGAAATCTATCTCTTATTTTCATTTGGGAGAAATTTATAATGCAAAAAAGACAGAGGAAGCTACATATTTGAGGTACCTAATACTTTTTAGTTAACTGAATCTGTAATTCTCTTCTTGCTTTAGGCCATTAAGAAAGTAATTTTATTGGGACCCCTGGGTGGCTCAGTCGGTTAAGCGTCCAACTCTTGAATTCGGCTCAGGTCATGGTCTCAGGGTCGTGAGGTTGAGCCCCATGCCCGGCACTGCACTGAGCGTGGAGGCTGCTTAAGATTCTCTCTCTCCTTCTCCATCTGCCCCTCCCCCCGCTCACACACACTCTTTCTCTTTCTCTCTCTCAAAAAAATTAATAATAATTTTACTGAGATATAATTCACATGCCATACAATTCACCTATTTTAAGTATACAATGCATTGGTTTTGAGTATATTCCCAGAGTTGTGCAACCATTACCATAATCAACTTCAGGATATTTTTATTGCCAGGTATTCTAAAAAGAATACCACTCCT